GCTGTTACACGTTTCTCAAGGGTTTTTTTTTTTTTTTTTTTAAAAAAAAAAAAAGAGAATTCTTAATAAACATGAGAAACCACCAGCTGGAACCACTGGTGCTTCCCTACTTGTTTTGGCAGAACTTTATTGTTGCCTTCTCGCTTATTAAATCTGTAAAACATCTGATCTTAAGTCCTCAGTATGGACCATCATCAAAGGATTTGTATTGATTTGCGTCAGCCGATGAGTGGACTTAAAGGCCATGTATTTAAATTGAAGTTGGGCTGGGATTTATGCCCCCTTGACAGCCTATTGACCAACTGGACAGACTGCGTAATATATGACAGTCTGTGGAGAAGAGACTTCATGTCTTTGTCTTCAATAAGTGATAAATTTCTAAGTAAAATAGGGTGCCTTTTGATTAAGTCACTTTTGCTTTTAATAGATAGTGATATACAAAAGCTTGTAATTTCACAGTATTTTAATTCTTTAAATCTGAGTTAAGACTGCCATCTTGTTTTTGTGGAATTAGAAAATCTTCACTAAAATGAATACTTTTGAGGAGTCATTTTGGTAACGTAAATCACTTCAAATCACTGGACAAAGCCGTTGAAACTTGAGTTTAGTGACAAAACCTGGTACTTCTCAGGAGGATTATTTTCTTTAGGAACTTTTGACCCTCCGTTTCTTGGTCAACTCATACAATTTCTGAATGTTGTATTAAAAATGTGCTATGCCTGTCATCGATCTGTAAGTGTACCATTTTCTTTCTTAATGCTTTTAAACTGATAAGTCAATACCTGTAAATGATGTTCTGAATTTTATAAGTACTTGGTTCATCTTGATATCACATGGCAAATGTAATTTCAAAGGATGTTGTGCAGTAACTTTTTTCTTACACAAACTTAAGATCTGTATCGTTAATTGATTTACCAGGAAATCTTTCCTAATCTGAAAGGAAAATATATAGTATTACTAACAGGAGCTGAAGGACGTAGCGATAGTTTACTTGTGATGCTGTCTATTGGAAAGGCTGTTTTTAGACTGTTGGAAGAGTCTAAAAAACTGGGAGAGAGAATAATTAACTTAATACAATTGTACACTTGGAAGTGTCTCAAATATAGAGATACGCAACAAAGAAGCATAGAATGTGGTAAAATGTCTAAGTATCTTCTAAAATATAATCTTAGTTTATGTAGCATAAGCAGAAATACTTCAGGGAATATTTTAGTGAGATACTTTGATGTAGCTTTTGATCAACGTTCAGAATTTACTTCCTGAATTGCTAAAGCTGAATACAAGTGCATATGGTGCGGTGTTACTGATTCAGTTTGTGAATGCATCACTCAGGACACAATCTCGCTTTTTTGCTTTGTCTGCAGCTGATAATAATTTAACAAATAAAACTGCATTTTTATTATAATTTTTTATAAAATAATTTTATATTTGACCTTTTTTATGTTTAAGACTTTCGGCAAACTTCGAAAGAATTATGTTTCACGTAGGGTAAAGACCTAAGGAAACCAAAAAGCTATAGAATTATTACTGCCGCTACTGTAGTTTAGGTTCAAGGCCATTCTGTTCACATCTTTAACAAATTTCAATGTGTTTTCAAGCCCTTGAGAAACACATTGATACACTTAAACTAAGCAATTTACAGTAAAGACAGCACATATATTTTCTTCTTTGCTGCACCATTTAACTGGTTTTATCAGCGATTATTTATGGATGACTCTAACAGGGTAATTACAGGATAGCCTTCACAGATGAGGCAGCAGATAAGCCAACACTCCTAGTGGGTTTTGGCTCTAAACTATGCAGTGGGAAGAAGCTATTAACAGCAAATTCACAAGCAATGAGGCTTAGAATAATAGAATATATTAATACTGTGTATCAGAGAACAGGAAAATCAAGCAAATGCTCTACTATAGATATGAGATTAGACATAGGAGCTTTCCTTTCAGGGTGGGATTTGTCTGGTTTAGGGGTATGTAAAGCAGTGAATAATAAAGAAACTCCAAAAAGTCATAGCCAAGCCAAAAAAAAAAAATGTTTTAAAAGGCAAATACAAATACAAAAATGCATGTAACTTTCACAGAAATAAATTTCATACAAGAATAATAGGAGTTGGTTAGTTACATGCTGAAATTCCAGTTGTTACTTCTAGTGTTTGGAGATTCTTCTATTTCTTGGTATGAATTTAAATTTGAATGGGGAGAAGTGGAAAAATGGGTAATTTGGTAGAAATATTGTGTTTTTTCTTTTACTTAATCCCCTCACTTTAGAGTGCTTGCAGTTTTTACAGAGTAGTCAGCACACTAAAAATGACTGTGACAAATGTTAGGAATATAGAATTTGATCAGAAGAAAATGCTGACACCAACTAAGAGGGCAGTTAAGTTGAATGATAACATTATTTCCGAGTAATATGTATAGAATTTCTATGTATTTTTAGAGTCCGTTCAAGCTCTGACTAGAAGCTTATGTAGACATTACTTAAATTGAAATTTGCAAATCAAATTTCATTAGCAAAACTGCTTGGTGCTAAGCCCTTAGACGCTATGTTTGGTGTTAGATAATTGGTCTGATTTTAAGTGTTAGGCCCTGAGCCTTCGATAATTAAGTAATGCTAAAGTAGAATATTTATTGGTGAGGGTAAAAATTATATCTTACATAAAACTGACATCAAAAGACAGAAGAGCTCTAGCTCTCTGTTTTGCATTACAACAGTAAATTGATGTATTGATGCTTTTAATGGAATTTATAAATTCTCAAGTAAATTTAATATCGCTCAGTTAATCATATGGGAATGTAGCCATGTAGAAGTATAGCACAGTTTTCAGGGCTCTGCCTTTCCATCCTTGCAGGCAGATAGGGTAATTTGGAATGGAGTGGTTGACTGTGAGATGAGGGGATGAGCTGGGAGGACCACCACACTCGAAGATGTCATTCTGTGTCTCCTCAGGGGTTTGAAGTCTTAACTGGCCAGCTGCTGGTGGCACAGTGCAGAGGCTGATATTGGAGCTGATCCTAGTTCATGTCCTTGCCTATGCCCAGGGCAACGGGATGTGCTGTGTTTCCATCAGGTTTCCAGGTGATACCAAATTGAAGGGGAGAAGAGAGGGAGATAGGACTTTTAGTAAGCTGACTCTAGATGGGGGAATAGTGTGACAGGAACTTAACGATGTTCAACCAAGACAAATGTGAAGTCCTTCACCTGGACTTGAATAATTCACTGCTTTGGCTGGGGGCTGGCTGGTTGAGTCGGGAGCAGCCTTGTGGGAAAGACAGGCAGGACAGGGGTCAGCGGACCACGCTTGCGGCAGCGAAGCCAAACTTCATGTTGAGCTACATTAGCAGGAGTGTAGCTTGCAGATCAGCAGGAGTGATTATTCTCCTGTGCTGGGCATATGGGACCGCATCTGGAAACCTGTTTTCAGCCTCCTAGTGTAAGGTGCGTGCTGTTTAACTTCAGAGTCTTGCACAAGTCAACTAAGGTAAGTCAGCTAAGGAAGCTGTAGCATATGACAGGAGGAGAGATGGAGGAAACTGATTTTTGTTTAGAAAAGATCGAAAGACAAGGCAGAGAGGGGATCTAGTTGCAGCCTTCCACTCCTTAAATATTTAATGGTTGTAGAGAAGGTAGAACTATATTCTTCTTAGATGTGTGTAGTAGAAAACTAGGAGGCAAAGGTGACAAGTCACAATCGGAGAAATCCCAATTGTTTAAAAGGGAAAAGAAAAAAAAAAATCACTATGGGAAAGTGAAGTTATACATGTATTTTACTATGTTTTGCCATTAAGCAACCTCACTGAATGTTTGTGCTGCTTTGAGCAGGGATTTGACTATATGACCTTGAGAGGTCTGTTCAGTTCTGTGACTGAATTGTATAAATGAGCAGGCGGCAGTGGAGGAACTCCAGCATGTTTAGACAAAGTAATTCCAATCTGTCATGAAATCACAGATGTTTTGGGAATCTGAGTGCTGCATACAACAGGAGCTTCTTTAAAGCTTTATAATGGAATTGGAACAAGCGAAAAAATAAACATTTCCGGAGGAAGAGGAAACTATTAAAGCTAGGTTAAATCTCTTTATGAACATGCTGGGTGCTTCCCAAGGCTGTCATTGATATCAGTGGACTTCTTTTTTCCTGAGATTGGGTTTGGAGATACATCTTAGTCTCGAGTTAACTTTGCTTTTAATGACAAGTACATTACAAAGAGCTAGGATGCTGGTAAATGCGAGGCATTTAATGAGAGACGGAAGCTTCTATCAAGATAAAACTAAACTGATTTTATCCTTGCTCCTGATAAGTATTGCCAAAAGTATTGCCGCTCAGTCATAAGTTTGTTGATTATCTTTTCCAAAATTTAGCAGTGAAGTGTGGCAAAATTGTAACAGTATCATGCCGTGAGGCAAATTGGGTTTGATTTTAACCTTCCCATATTAAACTCCCTCATGAGGATTTATTAGAGTTGATATTTGAAGCTTACTTTACTTTTCAGTGACAGTCGTTATGTGTTAGTTCTGTAACTAT